ATATATATATGTATGTGTATGTATGTAACGGCATCGTCGTCCACGTATATGCGTTCGTCCAGCGGTACTTGCTCCGAATTGGGTTCTCTTCCCTTTTCGTTATTCTCTTGCATTCTCTCTCAGTCTTGCTCCTCCGAGGTACCTCGAATTTTCGCGTAAAAAAAAAGAATATACGTTTTCTCCTTTGTCTTTCGCGGAAGTCGATACAAACGCACCACGAGCGCTATCGCACCCGGGTGTGTCCGCGTGTGACTGTAAGCGGGGAACGAAGGGACGAACGGGAGTCGAAGGAAAAGGGCTTTATAGAGAGATCGGTTTCAGCCTGTGCCGGCACTGCCGGCCGGCGATACATTCGCGTACGGATCGCGTTAGATGGATCAACGGCGTAATTAGACGATGGCCGGTCGATTGTAATGAATTTTTATTCTATTTATGATGGCCGGTCGATCACGAGGCGCCGACGATTCGCCACCTTTTGTTCCGCGCGCTTTCCCGAACGCGCTCGCTGAGGAAACGCCGACCTGGACGACGTAAAAATGCACGGGCGCTAATTACGCGATATCTACTACGTCGTTTTACGTACACGTCTGTGAAACTCGAAATGAGAGTTCAACGCCGGAGGTGGTATTTTGATCCCGCGGAGGAACGGTCAACGTGGCGGAGGTATTGATCTCGTACGTCGCACGAATGAAAATACGACGTGGAGCTATGAATGGTAAATAGAAACGCGGACGGAATTGGCCGAGATAATCATGATCGCGAATCGCACGTAACGCAATTGCGCAATCACGATTGCACTTGATGAACCGGACGACGTGTCGGCTGGTGTGCGAATCGATATGATATAAAAGCGTAAGGAACGTAAAAGGTGGACGACTCGGTAGAGTTTCGTAAGGGCTCTAAGATGTGGTATTGCGCGCTTATCACAGTCGTACGTGTATCTTCCTGCGTTATTGTGTACAAAATTAGAAAAAGAGAGATACGTAGAGAGGGTTTCTTGTAATAAAAATTCCAGTGGCAAGCGCGGAGCAGCAGAGGTCAGAATCCCCTGCGAGTACACAGAATCAGAAACTCGAGAATCCCGACACTACTAAGGAAATGACTAATAAAGATGGTATCGGGCCCAAAGTGATGATCAAAGGGGGCGGGAAAGGGGGCTGGCTGAAGGCCCCATTATCAGAGGCCCAAGAGCCCCATGGTGAGTGAGAGTAGTTGATCAAAAGATGACCATTATCGACGAATCTAATCGAGTTTTGTATTTGCGAAATAGCGACTGCACATATAATTATTTTAAGGAGTGTACGAACGTTTGTTTGTACACGAAATTCGATTTTTATGCACTTTTCGCTGAATACTATAGTTGCTCACTTGGGACTTTATTATATTTTTGTCTTCCTTGCGAATGTTGAACGGCCAGTTTTTGAATACGAATATTTTTAATACTTTATTGATAGTAGAACATTTACAGTTCTATAAAAAAAAATTAACATTAAAATAAATAATTGTTTAAAATGGTCACAGCAATATAGTTATATATTGAATTATAGAAGCTTTATCTTTTTGACATATTATTCACAAAATTGAAACTGAGTGTTTTCGTAATTCCAAAGCGTTTAGTAGATTCGTCGATAAACGGCATACAACTTGCATCTTTTGATTATCATTAATCTTATATAGAAGCCAGTGACGATACAAGGCTACTGATTTAGCGGCGGGATTTGCCAAAATTCTTTGTAATCTTGGTGTATGTCGCGAGTCAAGACAAATTTCACTGTAAGGCCAAAGAGACAATAAATTGGGCATAACCGGGATCCTTTCTTTTAGTTAATTTACAAGGAGTTCGGTAACTTTTATCAAAGTGCCCATACAAATCATTCATTTACATGCATTCGCAATCATTCATATAAATACTTCACCTAGTATTATTGACTTTTCGCATTTAATACAGCCATCTTATATTTAGAACAGCAGATTCTCTCGTGAACATCTTATTTCGCCTTCTTGATCTTGTCATTCAGCAACTTTAAATATTCTCGATTTTCCCGGTTTATATCGTCAGTTCATTAGAGTTTATTTGTCGCTGTGATGCATTCTCATTGTCATTCACATATCATTCACATATACATTAAAAATGAATCCCGCCGCATTATACTGCGATGACACTTTAGTAATCTGAGGCTTCTCTAAACGACATAATTTTTTATCGACAGTTAATCTCCTTTTCGTTGCAGATTATTATTTTTGCCTTGCAATTATTCTTCGTTTGCCTTTATGTTACCCACTTTGGCTGATGTTTCCTTTTTTTTTATTTTATTTTTTAGTTTAGTACTGTGCTCGAGTTTTCATTGATTCTTCCGTGTCCCTGCATTTCATTTTACTTCATTACTTTAACTTCCTGCGAAATAGATGAGTAAGAGATTAATTAAAAAGATAATGCTACTCACGTTAGTCTTGGGTTAATCGAAAGCTGCAAGACGTCGCATAAACCAACTTCCACTCGATACGAAATCAATATCAAATTTTATTATAGAAATTATGAAGACAATTAGTTAAAAGCACAAGCGTCAAAAATGATAATGGAAAGTAAAAATAGCTTCATGGATGTTCAAGTATGAGAATTTTAACATTCCATTTTCTCTCGCGTATTTAGCTTTTACGTTTATATTGGATACAATAGATAGTATCGTTATTGCATACTTTTCTTCTGCATGCCCTTTAGAAAATGATGTCTTTTTTTATAGCGATATGACTGCTTTTAATCAATACACGTATTAATGAAAAGTAAAAATGTTACGATTCATAATTTGCTTAGAAAATTAAACGTATTATTTTGTTCTATATATATGATTATTCAGCTTTTTAACTTCTTCAATGTAAATTTCTTTTGTAATTTAAACTTATATTGTTTTCTACGAAATGATATTTTATCTCGATACATGGCACAAATATTATTTCGCTTTTTTTATCGTGTATAGGGATGGAAGAAGGTGTTCCCGGAGGAGTAACAGAATTAAGTTCTAAGCAACGTCACCAAATGAAACACAGAGAGCTGTTTTTATCGCGACAAGTGGAGACTATGCCTGCTACGCACATTAGAGGCAAATGCTGCGTTACGTTATTGAATGAAACCGAATCCTTGACGAGCTATCTAAACAAGGAGGATTCATTTTTTTATTGTTTAGTATTTGACCCTGCTCAGCGTACTTTGCTTGCTGATAAAGGTATGAGTATATTTTTTTTTACGTTCAATGCATACGGTACAAATTGAAATTAACCAAATTATATCTGTTACGTTGTAGGCGAAATTAGAGTAGGTAATAGATATCAAGCAACAGAAATACCAGCGGTATTGACAATGCCAGAAAGAGAGGCGGATACTCGCAGATTACAAGACTTGGAAACTTTGGTTTGGACTCCGAAACATAATTTGACAGATCGTCAGATTGATCAATTCCTCGTCGTTAGCAGATCAGTAGGCACCTTCGCGAGAGCCTTAGACTGTTCGTCCTCCATTAAGCAGCCCTCCTTGCACATGTCCGCAGCTGCTGCATCTAGAGACATTACTCTGGTGAGGAATGTTCGGTGCACTGTAGACAGATAAATATAAATAATTAAATTGATATTCTTAGAGAGAGTATTGTCATTACATTAAATTTTAATTGTATTACAGTTTCACGCGATGGACACATTGCACCTGCATGCCTACGACTTATCGAATGCCTTAGCGTCTCTAGTACCTAGTACAGGTCCCGTATTGTGTCGAGATGAGATGGAGGAATGGAGCGCGTCCGAGGCGAATCTGTTCGAAGAGGCGCTCGAGAAATATGGAAAGGACTTTGCGGATATACGATCGGACTTTGTAAGCACGCCTTAAATAAGGGCAAGAGTACATAAAGTATCGGCTGAGTGTTGTGTCGTTTATAAAAGTCCTTGGCAATGTATGTAACCGCGTCATATGGACGTTAAAATTCTTATTATTTACAATGAACGACCTAATAGTCAATAGTTTGTGTATATTCATGTGCTCTAAGAACACAGTTATATTTGAACAGATTTATAAACATTTTTTGTCTTCCAGTTACCATGGAAAACGTTGAAGAACGTAATTGAGTATTATTACATGTGGAAAACGACGGATCGGTACGTTCAGCAGAAGAGAGTGAAAGCTGTAGAAGCGGAGAGTAAGCTGAAGCAAGTTTACATACCAAATTATAACAAAACCCCTACGCCGACAACCGCTCCTTCCACCGCCACGATTGTACCTCTGGGTAATAGTAATAGCAACAGTAACGGAAAACCAACCAGCGTTTTGAACGGTAACAGTAACGGCAGCATGGTGGGTGACAATTCCGGAATACTTATGGTCGGAGTGGGTGGGAAACCTTGCGAGGGTTGTCAAGTCGTTCAGAGTTCACAGTGGTACTCCTGGGGACCGACGCATATGCAATACCGTCTCTGTCAATCTTGTTGGACATATTGGAAGAAGTATGGAGGGCTCAAGGTATGTGTAGATTCAAGATCTAATAACGACATAAGATTACTGACAAACTTTTACATCTCATGCCGCTTTTTTTTCTTTTTGCCACAAACAGGTGCCGTCGCGCATAGACGACGTCGATCTCGATAGGAAACGCGCCGGCGCCGGTTCGGACGAAGAGAGCAAGGGGATGGGCGGCGCGCACAGGCCGCATCGATGCAGCATTCCCTCCTGTGGCAAGGAGTTCAAACTGAAGGCTCACTTGAGCCGTCACTACGCGAGCGCGCATGGAGTGGATCTGCGCGGCACCGCCGGAAGCGGCGGCGGCGGCAGCGGATCGCCGCGGCCGGTCATGAAGACCCGGTCCGCGTTCTACCTGCGCACCTCCTTGCTGGCGCGCGCCGCGCGACGTCTGTGCGCCGCACAATTGCGCACACGTCACGCCGCGCGGGCGCCCCATCAGCCGGTGAATGCCGCGCCGTTGCGGCACCTATGCGCCCAGCTGGCATCTAAAACACCTACGGAACTACGTATTCTTGCACGCGCCGTACGGCCTCGGCCGCGTCCCCAAGTGATCGACATCGCCTCGCGCCTAGGCGATCATCCAGCACCTCGGCAGCCCGGTGACTGGGACTGGCTGACACTAACTGCCCCAGCACAACGCAAACAGCCCGAACGAGTCTCATTTCCACGTCCGCCAAAGGCACCGGGTATATAAAAAGCAATTATTCAGGCTTGCTGCTGTTACTATTCTCACTTTATTCACTATTTTGGAGAAGACTTACTTTTGCTTACTTTTTCAATAAAAACTCACTACTCTCACTTTTTTCCAATAAAATTATATTATTTCTGTGTTTGCTATAATTTCTGTCTAATAGGTTATACATTTTTTAAAATTTTTGCTGCGTGTTTTCACTCCTTTTCTGTGAGTAGATTTGAATAATTTGAATCCTCTGCCATGTATGGGGGCGGGATTCTTTTACTTCATTTTATTGATTATTTAAGGACGATTTTCATTTAAGCATTTCATTATAATTTACAGTTACTGATAAAGTATGAAAAACTTATTAGAAAATGTGATATTACTTGTATAAAAATGCGTAAAACTTATTACAATATTATACTCAAATAATTGAATTGGAGAAAAAATTCTGTGGAATTTTATTAGCTCAAATTATATACAGAATATATTTGTTGCGAAATTTAAATAATTGTTCTAAAAACGCGAATAAATACAGCTGATTTTGTTGTAACTTTTGTATAAAACATTTTTTTTATATCTCAAATATTTTTCGAGATATAACGGAAAAAGCTGAAAATCGCTGTACACGTAAGAGGTGATTTCACCCCTTCAAACCGTTTTTTAGCCGCAACTGATATTTTCTAAATTCATCTCTTTATGTAAGCTACAAGTTCACAAAATTTCATTAAAATCAGAATTTAACACTTCGTTCCGTTCTTGTTAGCCGCAACAGCATACGTACGCAGTGGATTTTCAAACTCGATTTTCTCGAAAACTAAGTAGAGTAGAAGATCGAAAAAGTTTATATTCTATATATTTTGTTTATTTTTTAATAAGGAATCACGTCGTGCCCGGATCCTGTATATTTTTTTTAAATTGGTAATTATATTACTC